AGGACTAAAGATCTAGTTATGTTACAACCAGATATGATGAGAGCTTCATTTGGTTTCAATAAGCCTGCTTCAAAAAAGGCTTGGAAACAACTGGAAAAAACGCAAATATGGACTAGCTATTAGATTAAATAATAAACTGGTTTCATACAATAAATGTTTATGGTTGCATAAGTGTGCTCATTTTTAAAAGAAGTATTAAGTATTTGGGGTACATGAAGAAGTAAAACAAATACAACACACTAACAATTTCTTAGAGCTACATACGGATCATATACAGTATTTAGTGCTCACTGCATTGTTTCCTCAACTTCCTTTCCTATTTGAAAAATGTTCATGATAGATATGAGCACGAGTGGTTATAATTATCAACTACTTTTTTGTTGCTAAGTCCCAAGTTAAAGAATTGTTTAAATATTCATATACACAAATACAACAGTCAGACAAACAACATCAAAGACATAATTCTGATGTATATATAGTAAGGCAAAAAAGCAGGCCAAATGCCTCCTCTTAAGGTATCATCTTAATGAGCTTATTTATACCAGGAGGTAGTCCAATAGTCTACTTTCATATCTTCAAAAGAACATATAGGCAATAGAAATGCTAACTGCCCAAAAATATATACAATAATAAAGAGAAATATTAACAGTAATTTTTTTCATCCTGTTATACTTCTGCTTAAGAGTTTCCACAATGTTATCTAAAACTATTTTCATTTACAGTATCATAAAACTAAAAGAAATTTTCTTCTTTGAAATAAAGTAACTTACTACACAGGTTAAATCTCTCCCATGTGAAAAGTTTGAAACCCAAAGTACTTTGGACTTCAAGTTGTTTTGGATTTTGGAATATTTACATATACATGAGATGTCTTGGGGATGGAATCCAATTTTGAACACAAAATTTATTTATGTTTCACGTGAATACACCTTATACATATATTTTGATGGGAGCTTTAAAATAATTTCAGTGTTTGTGCTTAGACTGTGACCTATGTATCAGCTCAGGTATGAAATATTTTCCATTTGTGGCATTGTATTCAAAGTTTCAAATTTTGGTGCATTTTGGATTTTGAATTTTTGTATTAGAGATGATCAATCTGTATTCACCAGTCAGTATTCATTTAAAAAGAACACATAAGGGCCAGCCAAATAGCTCAGCGGACTAAAGCACACAGGAGCAGGGACTGGGGTTCGATCCATGGCCTGCCTTGCTGGCTGAACCCCTGGGGCATGCTGAGATAGCAACTGAGTCTGGGCAACCCCAACTGATTACAGGGTGCCCACCTGTAATCCCAGTGCTTAGGAGGCTGCAAACAGGAGGACCACTATGAGTCTGATCTGTGTAGTAAGACCCTGTAGTCCCTGTACTAAAATACATTTACAAAAAAGAAGTCATAAAAGCATAAGCCCAAAGACCAACTCGTAGAACTATATCAAAATTTGAAAATTACACAGCCAGTATAATATGACAGTTAAGACCAAATTTATTTATTGATTTAAGCAGGGTCTCACTATGTAGTGCAGGTTGGCTTTGAAGTCACTTAAGTACCCCGGATTGGCCTCAAACTCACAACAATATTTAACCCAGCCTCTCAAGTGGTAGGATTCCAGGTAGGTGTCACTACTCTCAGCATCTTAAATTTAATTTTTTAAAAATTCATGATAGGAGGGGCCGGGGAGATGGCTCAGTGGAATAAGCGCTTCCCTGGCAAGCGCAAGGCCCTGAGTTCAATCCCCGGTTCTGCAAAAAAAAAAAA